AAGTGAATGACTGTTGAGCAGGCAGGAGACAGACTTATTAAGGGAAAGTTGCCTCCAAACCTAACTCTACAATCATTCAATTCGTGTTTCGGCATTCATGCAGGCAAGGGTAAGTCAAAACCAAAAGTAAATACATAGTGAAAAATGTCCAAAAAGAAATACCAATAAAGTAGTACCTTGAGAAATTAGCAATTAATATAAAGGTCTAAAAGGAAAATACCAATAATGAAGTATTTTGAGAATTAAGCAATGTAAAGTCTAGTAGTAAATTAAATTTAAAAAAAATTTTTTTTTTCTAATTTTTCAAAAAAATTATTTAGAAACCAATGCATTTTACAAACCCTTGTCTACAGAAACCTCCCCGACTCCCGATAATATGCATATCAATCAAAAAGAAACTAAAAAGGAACTAGACGTAATTTATATAAACCAATAAGAAACTAAAAAGAACTAATTCATAATTTATGAAAAACAAATAAATACTTAAAAATATAATTACATATCTAGAAAATACTTAAATACTACATAAAAAATACTTAAAAGCAAGTAAATAGTAAGTTTTAATTCTAACTTACTTACCATATAGCGTTGGGGTCTGTAAAAGTATTTCCTAAGTGATGTAAGTGTGTTCTGCAAATTATATACATGGCGCTTATGTAAGTAAAGTTGAGTGCTAAGCTGCTATCTTTGTTTTATTAAAAATTTTGTAAACTTTAATATTAAAATATTTAAATAATACAAATCTAGAAAAAATCAAACAATATCCTAAAAGTATGTAATTCAAGTTTTAATTTTAACTGACCAACTATTTCTGGTAGGGAGTTTAGTAGCTGAGCCAATCAAGAAATGTAAGTTTGCTCTGCAAATATCATAAAAAGAGTACTCTAATTGAAGTAAAGTAGAGTTAAGTGGTTATTGTGAATTAATAAATGTAAACTGTTTGTAATGTTAAATGTGTGTTGCAAAATTGTGTAAATAAGGCAAATAAAAACGTTAAGGGAAAAAATTATTTTTTAGTGAAAATTGCAAATTAAAAAGTAATAATTAAAAAGTAATTAAGTAAAACTGAAATGTTTAAAATTTAAAAATGTTTTAAAGTAAAATTTAAATTAAAAAAGTCTTAAAATGTCTTAAAAATTCCTCAAATTTTTTAAGTAAAATTTAAATTTTGAAATGAATTCCAAATTTTTTTATTTATTAAATTGAATTCCTTAAAAAATGTTTATTAAAAGCTAAATTTAAAGAAAGAAAATATTGAAAGTTTTAATAACCTTGATTCCAACTGGTATATCAAAACTTTACTAAATACTGGCTAAAGTATGGAAAATTAGAAGAAAATTAAAATCTTCAACTCAATTCGGGCTATAATTGAGACTTTTGAAAAGAGTTGGCCCTTTATTAGTAAAAGGAAAAGAATCCAGTATTGATTAAAAATACATATTTACAATTTATTTAAAATAAAATTTACAAAATAATTCCTTTACTCTTCTATATCCTCCATTACCCTCCAGCTAAGGTTTAAGGTAATGTTATCATACCATAAACAGCCAAAAAATTATTAAGTTAATGCCTGCCTTTTTAATATATAAATTAATGAATTTTGGTGGTACTTGGTTATCAACTTGAACATTAATTAGCTTTATTATTTCTTCCTTTAAATCTTCTATTTCAGTACATATATTTTTTATTCTGATTATTTGGTTATGAAACGTGTTTTCTATTACTTTTCTAGAGATATTAGCGTTCCAGTTAATTAGCTTAATAGTATGAAAATGGAAATTCCTTCTTTTATCATACAATTTAATTTTGCTGTGTTTAATAATTAACAGGTCTAGGTATTCAATAGTATCTTGATTCGTATTCGTTTCATTAAGTGTTAAACTATTTGGGTAAATTTTGAATTGCTCAAAAGCAGAATTATTATTGAAAGTTATAATATCATCTATGTATCTAAATGTGTGTGCAAATAGCTTTAATTCATTCTTATTTAAACTTAGTTGGAATTTATATTCATAAGTAAAAAGAAATAGGTTACATATTTGTGTAGAACTGTTTGCTCCCATAGGAATTCCTCTCACTTGCTGAAAGATCTTATTATTGAATTTAATGTAGTTATTAAATAATACACAATTCAGATAAGTATTCCATCTTTCAATACAAAGGATGTCAAGCATGTCAGGAAAAAGTTGTGGGAGTTGCATTAAACTAGTAAAAATTTCTTCTAATGTTAGAGAAGTATAAAGATTTTCATAGCAGTTAATGTTCTTGATTTCTAAACTTTTAAATCTGCTGAGAACTGGAGCATTATTATAAATCATCCAACTATAGTTGTGTTGTTTGTTAATGAGTTGTTGGATTAAATTACAGATTATTTTAATTGCAAATATGTAATCTATATTCTTTTTATAATTATTTGTACCATTAGCAATAAATCTAAATTTGAGTGGTGATTTATGAAATTTTGGGAGAGCATATAGATTTGCTAATCTATTTTAGTTAGATGGTTGTGAAATTTTCAGTTTCTTATGAAATGCTTTTAGCTTTTTTGCAATAACATTTTCTTGTATATTGGTGAGTTTGTAAGTAATGGCATTATTCAGTTCAGTATTAATTAATGAGACATAAAAAATTTTCATATTATGCTAAAATTATTATTGGCTTTGTCAATTTTGGTTATTACGAACTTTTGTTTCAAATCTTGCAATAGAGGAATGAGAATATTCCACGGTAAATCGCTATTAAATTCAATCCTTCGAATTCTTTGCTTGAATTCTTCTAATACTTCATGTTTCCAAGCCATAAAGGTAGAATTTGGAATATTTAATTTGTAACTAGTTTTAACTATAAATTCGTCTAGATTTTTTACGAAACTTTTAAAACTGTGATGTTTGTTAATTTTTAGTACTGGTTTAAATTTGGTACCTTTTTCCATTAAATTTCTTAAACGTTGGTTTTGAACTATTGCTAAATTGCCTGTAATAATATGTTTATGAAATTTATCTATGGTGTGGTGGTGGTGTATTTAATTATGGCAAGGCACACTAGGGCTATCTGCCTAAGGGGAGGGATGCCTTCGTGGAGGACTTTCTAAGGGAAACTGGCTCGTATACACGTTACACATGGGGAAAACCACGAAAACGCCCATGCAGCCAGCCCGTTCGCGGGATTCGAACCTCGGACCGAACTACCAGTGTTCAGCGACTTTACCGCTCGGCCGCTGGTGGGCCGAAATTTATCTATGTAATCTTTGTATTGAAGCTCTTTGCAGTATCAATGGGCTGTAGAAGCTAATTCATGGTGGTTAATTAGCAATTTACTAAGAGGTATTTGATACTTGAAAGCTGGTGAGATTTGTTCTTTAGTAGTTGGAAAAAGTTGTTGACTTTTTCTGAAAATTTTGCTAAACTGAATATGATCATAGTTTGGATGAAGGAAATTGATTTTGCAGTAATATTTATTGTATTTGTTATTTGTAGAGAATTTATAATTGCAAAAGTCAGTAATAAGGTTTTTGATAATATTGTGCCCTGTAAAATGCTGTTTAAAAAATTTTAAAAGTAATTTTAAGAAATTGTGCTTACAAGTATGCAACCAAGTAATTATATTTTTAGTGAAATTATCAGTAAGAAAGTAGTTATTAATATTATCGTTTAACTTTTTTGTATCTGTTGTTGAAAAAAATTTATTTTTTTGTTTATTACCTGCTCTGGTTCCTCGTAATGATTTTTTACTGAATAATTTAAAATAGCTGTAAGTTGGAATTTCAGAATTTAATTTAATGTATTGGTTGAATGTATTGAGTCCATAAGGGTAAAGTGCTTTGAATTTAAGCATGTAGAGTGACTCTTGAAATAATCTAACTTTGTATTCAGGTACAATGTCCAAAATTTGAATATTAATTTTTTTGAAATCATGTATTTGAAAATGTTCTAATTCAGCTGTATTAAGTGAGTTAAAATTAGTAGTTGCGAATTTTTTAATGTGTGCTCTGTGGTTGTTAAAGAAAAAGGAAAAATAATCAAATTATTCCTGCGCTTGAGCTGCAGAGGACTGACTTTTAAAGAAATTAAGTAATTTTAAAATTTTTTTATTAAAAAAGTTACACCATCCTAGGAAAATATTTTAAGGTGTTAATATTACCTAATGTTAGTGTTTAGGGAAATGTTAAATTATTATATAAAATAATAAAGCTGGAAACACTTTTTTTCTTAAAAGTATAATTAAAGTTTGAAAAAATAATTGATGGGAGAAATAAATAAAACCTATTAATCCTCCTTTGCTTAATGCTTCATATAGAAGTTTTCAAAGGGATAGTATTTAAAATTAAGCATCTGGGTTCAATGTTTTAAATACGTGCCCGTACGTGCAGGCGTTCCACTCTCCTTCCCCGAAAAAAGGTCCAAATGAATTTGGGAATAGTGAAAATGGGATTTGAATATACCTGCTGAAATATGATACCCGAAAATTTTCGAGATTACAATATAAGTTATCTCTTCAGCCTTCTTAGCATCGCTTCGTGGTCAGCATGCTCGGTGTGTATTCGAGAGGTTCGTGGTTCGAGTTCCGGCGAGGGCATTGCTCATTTTTCATCGCTTCTGCTTTGAAAAAAAAGTAATGTCTCTACAGTGGCGTCAGAACTAAAAATGGTGGTGGATGATGATTTTTCGTCTCCAGGATTTGGCGATTGGGTCCCCTTAAACCCCAGTCGCCCTTTAAAAGGGGCAGTATATAAGGAATTTCTCTTGCCTTCTTAATATGCCTTCGTGGTGTAGTGGTCAGCACATTCGACGCGAATTCGAGAGGTCCGTGGTTCGATTCCCGGCAAAGGCATTGCTCATTTCTCATCTCTCCTGCTTCGAAATTACCTAATGGCTCTACAACAAAACGTCTTTTACTTCGTACAAGGAAGCAAAAATGACGGTTTCGTTTTAATAATTACTGATTGATATTATTAAGTATTTTAAATGAAAATTAAAAAAATGGAAAAATTTTAAACTTACATGAAGCAAAATATAATTAAAAAACTATCATCTAAATGATTGTACATATTAAAACGTCATTTCGGGACTTCCATCAAAAAGTAACCAATCTTCAGTTGTTTAAAAAAACGAGAGAGAGAATGTAATGCGAAATTCTGTACATCACCCTCAGTTCCTTATAATATGATTTCATGCAAACACTTCCGTCTGTAGGACTCTAACGCCTGCGTTGTACGAAGGTTACCTGAAACGAACAAAAAGACGATATAGTGGTTTCTACAATAAGACAAGAAGTTAAGAGTTCGTAACATAAAATACTCTGGTTAATTGTTTTAAGTTAGTAAACAATTTTAAGGCAAATATAAATAATTTACAGCGAATTAATTGCTTAAGAAGGTAGGCAGGGTTTTGACTTCAACACGTTATTCAATATTGCAAAGTTTATTTTAATTTAACATACTTTCATTTCCGGTATTTAAGTGTTATGTGCCACAGTCTAGCATTCTGCAAATAACTCTTCTATTCTCCGAGGTTTTTACTTTTGCTTTGCACCGCGAAAGGGAGAAAAAGGCATTAAAACAAAAATAAAACGCCTCGTTAAACAGAAACGAAAACCCACCGATCCAAAGAAAGTTTTTCTGTCTTTAAAAACCAGGTCACCGCCAGCAGTGCGGGTGATGAGTAAAAAAAGAAAACGAAAAAATATAGGTCGACTTAACGGTTTCGCAGAATGATTTTTCACTTTCTGTGCAGGTAGACCGAGTAGGTTAAGGTTGACCTTTTGGATTAGTTTGATCCCAAAGAATATGTTCGACCCAGACGACCTTCAGGCTTCAATTAATTTGCAACATCTTCAAAAGTTAAAAGATAAAAACTTGAATTATTTCAATACTTTATCAGATGAAATATCTTCTAACTTTAGCATTTTAATTACATTCTAATCCAGGCTTTACATTTACGTGTTTTAAATTAATGATAAATAAAAAAAATTAAAATTCTATAAATTAAATTAAGTTTTTATTTAAAACTCATAAAAATAATGAATGATATAAAAGGAGAAAAATAATTTATCATATAGTTTAAAGAAAATAAGAGATAAATAATATATCTACACTTAATTTTATATCACGTAGAATTAAAGAATGGAAAGCCTTTGATAAATTTATGAACATGATAGCTGATACTTTTGATAATGCAATTTGAATAATAGATTTCGTTATTTAAGCGCCGCTCACGCTTTAATTACTTGTAATTTAAAATTGTAGCTAAAAAAGATTATTTGATAAAAAAAAATTATTAAAAAAAATTTCATCTCTTTATTCTCAGCGATATGTTTTTAATCAAGTATTCAATTGGAAAATTGTTTTTCAACGATAAATAATCACTATTTTATTTCCAAAATTTTGTTACTTAAACTGGTCGAAAATCTTCAATAATTTTACGAAAAGAAATTGGAAAAATCCGCTAAACACATTACGTAAGCTTCATTTCAAAGAGTGTTATGTGCTTTACCCGATGATGCAAACAGTTAAATTCTGAATCTATCTTGCTCATTAAACGAAGATATGCGTGAAAAATCGTTTCAAAATTGAATAAAATTTTAAAAAAATTGAAAGCTTTCATACTTTATATTACGTCCAAACGGGCATTTTTTCATTTGCATACACATACGCGTTTCCAGAGCAATTGGCTTCTGTTGCCTTGAACAAAAAATATTTGAAAATAGTCTATCTTTAGAATTTTCGGAATTCAAAACTGGATGTCTCTTGGTACCGTCGTTTTATCACAATGCGAGAAATATACATACATTTATGCAGATTCTTCATTATTCAATTTCTTTAAATATAACACAGGGCTCTAATATTTGGAGGCAACAATTTAAAAAGTGAACCGACATTTAATGTGAACCAACGCAAAATGCCAAAACGAAATTAGTAGCCCTTCTGAGCTAACGCCATTTAGCCTAAAAAAAAAAAAAAAAAAAAAAACGCAAATTTCGGGGAAAAAAAATCGCCACATTG